TATATATATATATATATATATATATTTGCTATCACATATACACCAAACAGATATATATATATATATGCATTTTATGAGAGAGAAAAAATAATTTCAGTTTTAAACCTATGTCATTTCTGAATAAAACTACTTTACTGTTATATCATCGAAGTTAACTTAAAAAAGGAATACATAAAAAATATTTAAAAAACATAGACACTAAATTAAAAAATCATCAAACATTTTTTTCAGTTTCACTGTCTAGGCCTTTCATTTTTAATTTGAGTAAATAGACTTACAAACTTAGAACAATATCAAGTCATACTTTTGTTGCTAAGCAACAAAACATAAAAGCCATTGTTGAAACACAACGTTACGAAAAGACACACTGGCATATACGTAGGATCATACGTACATGAAATAAGATCACATGTACCCCAAAAAGCAACACATCCTACCAACTTTGTCATAAAACATTGCTATGATTTTATTGATTTTTGTTTTTACTCTTGATTTAATTACGCAACAATGTCATTGCAAATTACTTTCAACTTTATACGCTCGTTTGCGATATCTGTAGAACTTAGCACACTTGTCTGTGATATCTGCAGGTAAGACGTACTGTACTGATATTATGAAATAATGCATTTATCAATATAACAGAAATAACAAGAACTAACCATTGAAACGTACTCATAATTATAAACGAGTTGTTTGTTTAAGTGCAAAGCTATACAATATTCTATCTTGGGGAGTTAAACCTCAAAGTTTAAAGCTTACCGCTGAGATACAGGGGGGAAATTACATGTGAAAACTGTCGTTTTAGAATAACATTTATTATAATTCCCAATGGTTAAAATATTAAATTGGATCATTTTTATCGTAGGTGTTTACTCAAAAAGTACAGTGATCAATAATGTAAGTTTATTAGAATTTCTTGTTTTTATTTTTTGTTATCAACATTCATTTTCTTAATAATCTTTTTTCATAACTTCTATCTAAAACCGCTGAAAAGGTCAAATTATTCAAATACGAAAAACAGTAAAATGTTCTTACTAGGGTGTATTTCTTATTCAGTTTGTTTGTTATTACACAAAGGGCTATCGGTGCTCTGCTCAGCACGGGTATCGAAACCCAGTTTCAAGCTGTGTAAGTCCGCATAGATACCGCTGTGCCACTGGGGGCTTCTTATTCAGTAAGACATGTTTATTTTAAAACGTTTCGTTAAATTATTCTAAAACATTTCAGCTAAACTCGATTTGAATATTTTAACAGCTTTTTCTAAGATTTAATTTTTAATGCAATTTATTCTTTACGGCTGTTAGATTGAAGTTTCCATAATTTGATAGGAAAAGGTTAAAAAAGGCAAATGAATAATAGGTTTCAAAATTCTAAGATCTTAGAAGCTTTTTTTAAATCTCATAAAATTACAACATTTTGCAATTTTTTTAGAAGAATTTGTATTTTGAATATTTTAATTTACATTAAACTACAATTGTTAAATAAACATTCTTTTTTTTTAAACTCTGAAGAACAGGGATGTCACCAGTGGTCTAGCATACGGTGAAGAACCGAATGAATAATCTTGCTATTTTAGATATAGTAAAAACATTCATATGATTATAAACATTTTATAATTTCCATTTATTAACTGGATTTTAATCGTTTAATTACACCTTTGTAATGGTTTGTTTGTTTTAGCACAAAACCACGTAATAGGCAATCTGCACTTTGTCCACCATGGGTTTTTAGCGTTGTAAGACCGTAAACTTACCTACCACAGGCCTACCAAGAGATACGTTGCGATAGTTGAAGTTAAAAGAAAGAAGATTAAACTGGTTTATTTGGGTATCGCGTATTGCTGCACAAGGGCAACCTGCGCCAGACTTAATTAATTTTAAACAGATAGATTAGAGGGAGACAGCTATTCAACAGCACCCGCCACCAACCGTTTGATTACTCTTGGAATGGTGAAAGTTGCCCATTACTCTTATAACGCACCCACTGCCCAAAAATCAAGCGTAGGTCTCACAGTCCGGCTAGCCAAACATAAGCCACACTCGGCTCCAGAAGATCAAAGAAATGGATGCTATTGAAGAAAACAGAAAAATATATATAAAATTGTAATAAAAGCAAATTACTGATCTCTGCACTGTTAAGTAAACAATTATTGAATTAAAAAACAAAAATCTATTTGTAGTTTTTTATTTTTAAAACTGGAGGACATTTGAGCTTCTGCACGTCTATTTAAGCTTTAGCAGCTAATTACTTAAATATTGGAATTTTGTATATGTGTTCATTAGCATCTGAAGCCGTGTCTTTTCCATTTTATACTTTTCTTGAAATATGTGTCCTCTTCGTTTGCAGTTTCGGTTTCAAACCGCTGCGTTATTGGCTTAATGTTCTTATCCATATAATATTTACATGACTTGCATAGACTGCTCATAGGAAGGTTAGGGAACGATTTTCACTCCAGTTTTCGTGGATTTTATTTAAATATAGGTTTTAAAGTCAAAGGAGTACAAGGATTCATCACTTTAAAATGATGAATAAATTTAAAGCCAAATGGTATGATTTATGTATTGTTGATGCTCAAAACAATGAATTATACTGAAGCTTCTTTAAAAAAACAAACAGAAAATACAAACACCTGTTATTATTTTATTGTTTGAACTTTTTAATCTTCTATATTAGATGTAGAGACATTTGTTGAATACCTCGGTATGTTAACTTAAATATTATAAACTGATTATCAGTGTACAAATAATATGAAATTAACATTAATTATTCATTCAACTGTAAAAGAAACAAACAATGGGGATAAGAACTTATAAATCATCAGACTTACCCTTGATTTAGAAAAGTTTGTTCCATAAATTTGGGATGAACACATATTGGAGAAGTTGATTTTATCCTGTGGATATTTGTCTTCTCTTCAATTTAGGTTCGTCAAACATAAAGTAAAAAGTAGGTCAAATATTCTCAGAACAACCCTTACTTATATATGTATATGCTATTATTTATATATAAATCACATGACTTTAAAAAGGGACTTTCGTAAATAAAATCTTTCTTGAGTTTCACCTAGTTATTTATCTCACTCTAAACGAATTTTGTTGTTATTTTAGCGCAGATCTAACAATGGACTATTTGCAATCTGTGCATCGCAGGGAAATGTCTGTAAACTTACTGCTGACCCATCAGAGGATATTATCAAAACCTTACTACCTGCGAAATTAGGTATCATGCAATTTATACACGAATGTTAGAAATGAAAATAAGCACATCATGTTTATCGTTAGACATTCCTCCTATATAAGTATCCTTCAAAAGAAAAGCCAAAAGTTGGATTAAAAGAAATAAAACACAAAATATTTCGTCACAACTATCGCGGCGCCATCTGAGAAAAACATAATAATACAATCCTATAAGTTCGCGGCTTTGGAACTAGCAAGAACAGACTTGGTACCAAAGGTGCTAAAACGCGCCAGGTAGTTCGGCCAGGCAAAATGGAGAATTAGGAGTAGTATTAAAATAACATAATATCGTGTGTAGCAGTTAGTAGTCTGCTAAGGTTTAGGACCATTTCGTAATTTCATAATATTTATGTCAAGGAGTGATCAAACGTGGTTGTAAGTTAGTCACTGAAAACAGACGTTTACATGCATGGTATTAGTTTTAAACGAAAAATAACTGTTTGGCACCGTCTCTGAGCGGGAATTACGTATCAACAGGAATATGTCAGTCGCACGTGTTCCATACAACGTATTACAGTGGTTACACTGTTAAAAGAAGCGTATACTCAAAGAGAAGTTGCTAACAACTTAATATTTCTAAGAATTCTGTCACAACATCACCGTGCATATTGTAATGCAACATGCCCAGAGAAGGAATTCAGTCAAAAACAACAAGAAACTTATTTGCACGTGATGAAAAAGTTTTTGAAAATCATGATCACATCCTAAACTGTGGATCAAGCCGGTATTTGGGCCAGAAACTGAAAAAACAAACAAAAAACACTTGTAACAAGGTCAGTTTTTATCCCTATTTCTTGGTAGACCGATAAAATCTAGAGGTGTTGAAACGAGAAAAACTACTTTCATAGCTTAAAGGGATATAAAGGTGCAAAAAGTCTCCACTACGGACTGATGAACAGCATAATGTGTAATCAGAAAATTATCTTTTATCGAGATTTCACGGCCCTGAAAAAACCTTCGGTTATAATTGAATCATTAAACTGAGTAGTTTTTGTTGTTGTTTTTTTTTCACAGGATGAGTATATATCTTCTTCCCCATCTTCAAATCGAATCATCATCATCTGTAAAACGTGATGTTATTTCTGTAGTACATCAATAATCTACTGTAATATTATCTGCGAAATATCAAGATGTTGAAGCACGTGGTTGCACAAATAAAGTAAATTACAAAAAACAACAACAAGGCAACTGATTTGTTTGAAGATTCTCGTTAAATAACTCCCCACAATTTAAGCATGTACCCTCCCCTTAAAAAAATGAGCATAAAATGTAAATTAGCTTTATTTGTATAACAGTCTAAGACAAAGGAAATCTAACACGTTTAGTGTGATTGGACAGATTAACATCCTACTTCAGGAACAAAGTGTCCCTAACTTCTACTCTCTTTGTTCATTTGATAAGTGTATTGTATAGTTATCGGTACTATTGAATGCCGAGCATCTCTTTTGTTAAGTTACTTTTTGATAGGGAATTGTCAAGAAACATTTTCTGAACGCTTGTAATGCAAAATAAACTCAAATCATGTTTTCACTGATCATGATAAACATATACACAAAGTCACAGTAGTCTTAACCTAGAAAGAACAGTTAAGTAAAAGTAAAGTCACAGTGAGTTCTAAGATATAACGCTGTTATGGGAAATTAATTTACTACTAGCCTTGCCCGATCCGTCAACACATGACGGGTTGAGTTTTGTAAACCCTATGCGGGGACCCCTCCTTCCTTCAGCGAGCTTTTTTCACCAAATTCCCCCTTCATCATAAAAGAAAAACAATCACACATTGAGAAAAGAAAAAAAAATGAAAGTACACTCTAAAAAAAAGCAATAAGAAGGGTGCAACTTAAATTAAAAATGACTCATAATATGAACGTTATACACCTTGACAAATGGTATATATATATATTATATTTTAATCAGTGGGAAAAAGAGTAATATCACACCAAAGTTCATGACTTTTATATGAATTTATGAAAATCAGATTAACTCTTATTCAAATTAATGTTTTTACCTTTTCATTTTATTCTCCACAATACAACTATATCATAAATACATTGAAATTTCACACGTCCCAGAACGTATATTTGTAATTACGTCATATAACCTAAAATTACGATTTAAACGCTGAAAGAAGATGAATCACCTAAAACCAATAAGCCTAAGTTTATGATAAAAATTCTGTCACAAAGTTTAAAACTAAAAAATTAATTTCAAGTAGTTTGTTTGTTTTTAATTAAGCATAAAGCTACACAATGGTATATCTATGCTCTGCCCACCGCGGTATAGAAACCTGGTTTCTAACGCAGACATACCGCTGTATCACTGGGGGCATTTTAAGTAATATCATTAGTTAAGACTAATGGTAATACGTTTGGGAGAAAGAAAGCAAAAAGGTGTTTAATCTTGTTAGGTATTACAACTTAACCCGGACGGGCCCCCAATTTATTCTGTTACTTATTACAATTTACCGCCGCTGAAGTTATATACTATTTTCGTAAATAAACTAACATCCGACGTGAATCCTCTGAAGTTAAATGGTTTGTAATATTCGAAATCTATAAACGTTCCTAATCAAATATCTGAAGTTCTCGAATAATAAGCGTTATAATAATCATAGTTATAGCTTCCGAAATTTATAGCATACCAACTATAGCAAACCAATAATATATATGTATATATATATATATACTGTCTTTTGTCGAGCGCTCTAACCACCTAGCCATGTCGGGCCAGATATAGGATTATCACAACAAAGGTACACTATTATTAATATTAACTTCCGATCAGAAAAAGCTACCTATTTAGGGAAAAACTAAAAAGTATCTCGATAATGAGTCTATCTAATTAAATATTGTTTTCCCAAGTTCTAACTTATAAAAATTAGAATGCATTGTTTGATCAGTTGAGTTTGATCAATAATACATTACGAGATTCGACTAGCTTAGGAGATTTAGATTAGTCTTAAATCCGCATACTAAGCTAACAATACAAAACATTCTCTATAATAAAGTATAATAATAGAAAATTATAAGTCGATATATTCAACACTTTGACCAACATCGCTGATGAAATTAACAGCAAAGAAAGAAAAATTACTGTATACGTCACTTACCGAACACTCCAACACTAGTTGTTAGCTAGGAGAGCTAATCACTATTTGAAAACTTGGTATGTGGAAATAAATTAGAAATTAGACCTAAAATTAGATATGTGTGTTTATTCAAGTTCACAGCACCTTCTATCTAACTCCTATCCATATACTTACAAAATGACGACTACATACGCCAACCTTGTACGTATATTCTCAAACAAAGTATATAAGTTAAGAGCCCCAAAGCGAAGAGCTAATGCATATTTCATAATGTATTCATCTATGCTGTGTGTGTCATCATGCATGAGGATTTAGAGCAGCTGCTTCAAATTACTAAAGAAAATATATAGCTGTGCTGCTATTGTTTTTTAGAGCGACTACACCTTAAACTCATTCCAACAGGTGGTACTGATGTGGATGAAAGTCCCCATATAAACAATATAGTATGTTAAGCTTAAAAAATAGCGTTGACGGTGGATCAGGAATTTTCTTGTACAGGTTTTAATAACTCTGAAATTCATTAACATATGAACAAAGGTACGTATCATGCCTTTTTTTTTTCTCTAGTCCTTTAGTTGGTGACTAAGCTGAAAACAAATATCGAAACCAAAAACACAGAATTTATTTTGTGAAAAAGAACAGATCAGTAACAAACCGAGGTAAAAAAAATGTTCCTTTTCGTTAGAACAATATTTATACAAACTTGAAAATAGTGATTTAAGTAAAATTACAATATTCACAATAAAATATTTTTTTAAATTATTGTAGGGGAAATAGTTGAAATTACTTATTGGACATTTCATATCTTGTATAAGTAGATTAATGTAGTGATAGTTATACTTCCTTCCCTATATAAAACCTACTACTGTGTGGTTCTCTTTAGAACCATTGAAGATCCAGATAGTAGCATGGAAGGGTAGAGGATGGGAGCTATACTGTTGAAGATATTACAATATTAAGCCCAACCTCAATTATCATCTTGGTATTTATGTCCAAACATCATAATGGGGGCTGAAATGATAACTTCAAGACTGTCTCCCCCATTAATGCCATGTATTCTATCATTTCTTTCTTAATATTGTTTTTATTTTATTTATTTATGTTTTGTGAGGAACTACCTTCCAACACCTGACTGCAGACAGCGAAAGATGGGGGAAGTTGTGGGCTAGACCTCCCACGTCTGTTCCTTTTTTCTCTCTCTCTCTTCTTTTAAGCATGTGAGGCCGGCGAAGTTGAGGTTAAACTGGATAGAAGGTGTACCCCCAACGCAATCTGGGTCTTATTTCCGCCGGAACCTAAAAAAACCAGGGCACATTACATAATGATCCATCTTATGATTTGTGCTCCGGTGTTGTATGTTTATTTTGTGGTTGGGATTTTTCTTTTTTCTCTCTCTCTCTATAAAATTACATTTCATCTAAGGTTTGGATATGCTGTGCAAAATTCACGCTATTCTTCCTTTTGATGTAATCTGTTTTATCAATTTTTTGTAGCGTTCTTAAATAACACAGGCCTGCGAATTTAAAGTTCATAAAAGTTAATTTGGCTTTATTAACGGAGTTTCCATAATTCAGCTACGCAGATTTCGAAAATAATATTAATTTTTTTCTGTTACATAAGGTTAGAAATCGGGAAGAAAAAATATCTTACTTAGATCAAATTACTATTTCGTTTACCACAATGAAAATTTTTATTATTATGTTTGTTAACAAAAATATAAACAAACCGAAGAAATGTGCATCCTCATTCATCCGTATTTGTTTTTGTTTTTTGTGATTTCTACGTGTTGTAGTCTTTCTTTTGCTATGCTGCGTTATGACGTTTTCTGAAAAATATGTACGTGATGGAGAAAAGTGGATATCATTTTCGGATTCAGCGTACAGGAATTACTGTAGAACATATAAAAATGTTAAGGCAATAAATTCAGGCCTGTGTAATTATGTATATATATATTAATTCTTGTATTTCTGGTAGTTGCTCCACAATTTCATACCAAATTCCGGACCCAGATGGCACAGAAAGGAGAAACTGTTACTATAAATTGTCAGGTGACTGGTGATCTGCCCATATCTGTTGTATGGCTACGTGATCAACGAGCTTTGGACGTGGATCTGGAATCAAGGTTAGAATAGTATTTAAACTATCTATTAAATGCCTTTTGCCAAAATCCTCATTTGGACATTAGCTAATATAAAGTGTTCATCAAGTGATATAAACTTTAAGGCATGCTCTTCAGTGTGATGCAGCCGAAAAGAACGCTTATTAGTTTTTACCAATGTTAGGGCCAGAGTTTAAACCTATACTTAAATTACTTATCATGAAAAACATCTGCTTGCTTGTATTTAATGAACCTTAATAATTTCACAATGTTATCCTGTAAATGTATAGAACGTCCATAGTATAGAACTTACTTGCAAATTTACATTGTAATAATTTATATACAGCAAATTGTAATACAAAATGCCACAATAAAAGACGACAGAACACGGAGGGATTTGGAAAATAAATAGCTCTCCCTGTATTTCAAGTACCAGAAAAATGCCGCCAAACTAACGAAAACTGTTCCGTGCAAGATCAATAAAATGTATATAGCTTGTATTGGCTGTTGATATCTCTCTTCACTCTTGTGTTCTATTTCATACAAAGAATCGAAGAAAAAGAAATTGTGAAAACACGAGGAATGGAATCTCAGCTACAGATAACGTCAACGTCCCGAATCGATTCCTCCTTGTATACGTGTAGAGCGTCTAACAGTTATGGATCAGATGAGACTAACGTACAGTTAATTGTTCAGGGTAAGTAAAACTCGGATTACGAACAGTAGATTTGATAAATTACTACATTTAGGTTCTAAATACCTTTGAATGTCAGAGGTTGGAAACATGATGTATTATTCAAGAGTAATATACACTTAAGCCAATGTCGAATAAAGTTTCATGAAGCTTATATAATCATGATATAAAAGCAAATAATTTAAAACTTTCTCCTAGTGGGAAATGCTATTTTTCAGTATAATGAAAATATTTTGTTTTCTTTTAATTTATTAGGCTTAGCGTTTATTACCGATAAAATCTAGCTAGCTATCTTTATATATACATCTATATATCTGAATACTTTATACAATAGTTAAGTTAATTATCAGGTAAAATTTAAGGCTTTATTCTGCTTGATTATATTTAAAGAAACTTAACCCTCACATAGTTGTCTCCTGGTGGGACAGCGGTAAGTTTGCGGACTTACAATGCTAAAATCCGGGGTCTGATTCTCCACGGTGGACACAGCAGATAGCCCAATGAGCTTTGCTCTAAAAATAAAACAAACACATAAAAGCTTTACATTGTTATCGTGTAAATGTACAGAACATATCTTGCAATGAAAAGTAAAGTAACAGTTCACTCAGTTTTTTCTGAGGAACGTGTTATGTGTAAAGGAACCCTTCAAAATTTACCGATAAATGTAGTTAAAGCTGTAGTAGAAAATAGGTTTGATTGTATTAGATACGGTGACTCACCTGCGTCGTAATTTTCTTGGTTTTGGAAATAGATCTTATTACCAAATAATATATATCTTTAGTTGCTGAAGTCCCCGACAACTCAGTGGTAAGTCTAAGGGCTTACACAGCCCCAAGTGACACAATGGTAAGTCTGATGACTAATAACGGGTTTTGATAACAGTGGTGTGCATAGCACAGATAGTCCGTTGTGTAGCTTTTTGCTTAACTACAGACAAACCACAAATTAGGACTTACAATGTTAAAAATCGGAATTCGATACTCGCAGTGGGCACAGCACAGATAGCCCATTTGTAGCTTTATACTTAACCATAAACAAACCAAAAATTAACGCTTACAATGCTAAGAATCGGGCCTTGATACTCGCAGTGGGCTCAGCATAAGTAACTCATTATGTAGCTTTGTGACCAATAACAACAAAACATCAAACAAACAAACCAACAAAAAACAGTTGGTGGAAGTGAAACTGAGAGCTCTAAAGATATTAATAACATTACAACAAACATTAAAACTTGCAACAATAGAATTTTTATTTTTCAAATTTACCAAAATTATTAGCAAAACCACTGAACGAATTTAATGCTGAAATAACTTGACGAGTGAACTGTAAATCTGTAAATAACTTGACGAGTGAACTGTAAATCTGTAAATAACTTGACGAGTGAACTGTAAATCTGTAAATAACTTGACGAGTGAACTGTAAATCTGTAAATAACTTGACGAGTGAACTGTAAATATGTAAATAACTTGACGAGTCAATCTCTCCACAAAAGAGAAAACTCAGGGGCTATTGCATAAATTCTGAAAACATTTCCGTTATTGAGAGTAAATCTCAATTACAAACATACGTGCGTGTATATAATAATCGACCGATCTCACGTTTTTTGTAGTGATTATAAAATTGTACCAGAGTAATTGCTAATCGAATAAAATAAATCATACATGAAGCTGTGTAGGAATTAAAGACTTGTACAATACCGGTTAGGGTAATATTTGATAACATTCACGTTGCTCGTGCTTCTTTAGCTATTGCTAATTAAAAAGATGAAATTTTAGGTCTTATAAATTTTGACTTTGATAAACAAATTTTATTGAATTATCATCAATATTTCAGGATTTATTTTTGTAGCCCCCTCCCCCACACACTGTGGGTCAGCGATAAATTTCCGGACTTACAATTCCGAAATCCGAGACTCAGTTGCCCGCGGTGGACAGAGCGCAGATAACCCACTGTGTAACTTATCTCTAAGAAAACACTACCAATATCTTTTAAACCTTGAATTCAATGGTTCAGTAAATCATACACTAAAGAACTACAGTTTCGCTTAATTTTATGTAACTTATAGTTTTTCTCTTACACAGTGGCACAGCGGTATGTCTGCGTACTTTCAACGCTACAAACCGGGTTTCGATACCCGTGGTGGGCATAGCCCATTGTGCAGCTTTGAGTTTAACTTTAAACAAATAAACAATCTTACGAGTAAATTTATTTTTGAGCGAGGAGTGCGCCAAGATGACGCTCTGAGACTTCTTTCTTTAACAAAAGAGCATTTTCTGAATATATTTACTCCAAATTTGCTATAAAATCTTCCTTTCCCCCCAGTTATAACCAACTTTCTATCACAACTTATGCTATTATATTAGTGTTATCATTAGCCAAGACACAGAATTTTTATATAATTAACGTGAAACCACTGTTCTCTTTTTTGGGGCATGAATAGATTGTGTAGATTGAGTTTTAATTGAAATACTGTTAGTATCCTATGGTTATTTGTTGTTAGTCCTAGAGATATTTATCGGTAATTATTCGTGGGACAGAAAAAATTGGATTGACTTAAGGAAAGGGCCGAGCGTCGGCTTGTGGATAGCGTGCTCGGACTTTGGATGCGAGGGTTCATGATTCGAGTTCCGTTTCTGGAAAAAAAGTGCTTCTCAGCCTGGGGCAGTGAATGCGCTAAAGGAATGACAGTCAAGCCCACTATTCGATCAGATAAGAGCATAGAGCAATAATTGATTGTGGGTATTGTTGACTAGCTGTCTTCTCTCTAATCTATCAGTTTAAAATTTGGAACATCTAGTGCTTTGTATAGCTTTGCATATTCTTGCCAAATGGATTCAACCACGTTCTTACCTTTTTATTCGTGGTAGATTATCAGAACTTAATCAAACTAAGCTAGTTTAATTGGCATAAACTAAAGGTTTTAAGTTAAGTATTTACGAGTTATGATGGTAACATTTGTATGAAAAAGTGATTGAAGACTAGTCACCTTTCTTTGCTATTTGATGAGAGTGGTCTTAATTTAATTTCAATTGACAATAAGGTCACACTTTCCGAGTAACTTACCTGCAATAATTAATTCCAAAGCTTCCGTTATTTGTTAATTATGTACTTGCCGATGATATTATACGCTATAAGTTTAAAAAGTCATGGCACATTATTAGATATGTTTCTTATTAGTACACTAGATATCGATATTAGACGTCAATAACTATTTCACAGATTCACTCCCTTTTGAACCAATTTAAAAAAAAATTCGCGTTGAATGAATCATGCGACAAGCCAATTTTTTTTATAAGTTTCAGTCACTAATTAGTCACGTTAATCAAGTAGTTTATTATATTCTGAAATGGAAAGACAGTTTTATTTTCTGCTAAAGAGTTTTTATTTCTTTGATTCCATTTCTTATAATCAAATAACAGCGGTTGTTAAATGTGTTTTCCATCTTTGATTTCTGATAAAGGACTTAGGCTTAAGTAGCCACGATGTTTATATTTGTTAAAGAAATTGGCAGTGCTCTTTGTTACCTTAAACTTTCTATTACAGCCGTTTATTTATTTTTTACTTGCACAGTGGAACTCTTATCTAATTATTCCCACAGAACCTCAAATTATCTATCTTTTATTAACAAGTTTTACACCTCGTTAGTTAAAAACAAGATGTATATAGTCAGTGGAAACTATTCCATGATGCTTTACCTTCTCCAATTTAGCTTAATAAAAGGCTTAGCAAAAACGGACCACACCTGATGTAATAATGGCACTGGACCTCTCGTACATATTTCTCTAAATTGTTCAGGAAATGACAATAAGATGTGCGTTTAAAATATGCACGTTTGCTTTAGTATATAACTAAATTTTTATTTATCGTATTTGTTTTATTATGCTGTAGTCATATTTTTTATTAGCTAAAAGTATTTGTAAAAAGATTAAAATAAAATAACAGCCAAAATTATATCTCTGGAATTGAATCGTAGTTTCTTTATGTCAGATTAGGTGCTTGTGTTTTGAATGAACATTTCAGTTATTTACAAGTTATTTATCTGACCTAGTTTTATGATATTTCTTTTCCCGAAAGCTATGGATCGAAATTACAAGTGAGGTTATATTTAAGTTAACTTGCTAATTCTGATTTTACTTTTTTTATCTTTGTATGTTTTCTATTTAGTAAATATATTACCACATTTAAGCTATTTGTTTAACATTTCAGTGACTGAGATTATTTTCATAGTAAGTGTAAATATTCTATTGCAGGTTTAAATAATGTATCAATTCTTGTATTGCTTTGGATTGAGGAATAAGATATCTATCTGTATGCGTTCCTTTGTTTATTTATCATTGTCTGCCTTTATCTACCTCTTGCAGAACCACCTGATCCCCCTCAAGAAATAAAACTGCTTAAATCTGGTAGTCGAAACGTGGTGATCACTTGGAGCTCACCTTTCAGTGGAAATAGCGTAATCCTTAACTACACCGTACAGTGGAGATCCAAAAGTACGAAGGGTTTCCCATTTTTGTATTTTTGCTGTTGAATGCTGGATTGTGAAATAGTGACCTTATAACTTGTCTGAATTTTTTTGACACCTCTAATACGTTTTAAATATTGGTTGTTTAGTTAAAATCTACGATAAGAGAAGCGAACATATCAAGATGAAGGGCTTACAAATTATAAAAATATACTGTTTTTGAGCTCAATCAAACCTGATTTACCTAGAAAATATATAGTCCTTAACTTATAGAACTTCCAATTAATTTGTTAAAATAACTTTAAAATACTAGTAGTAAAATATTGCTTTTAGTGTCCAAGGCTATAAAGAAAACTAATGCAAATGTTTAATTCAACTCAAAATTAATACGGATGAACTTTCAAATTTTAAATATGTTATATTATTATAATTTTTTTCCAGTTGTTTTTCGTTTTACCAACAAATGTAATAACTTGTGGAAAAAAAAGAGTAAAAACTGAAGCAAATGAAAAACAAACCAAGTTTTATTTTAGAAATATCATAATATTATATATATAAAAAAAAAACTAATTTATAGTTCTGTCACTAGGTGTCTCTCCTGCAATATGGAGAGTTCGCACAGTTCCAGCAAACGAAACATCATTCATTATTCACAATTTAAAACCAGCTCAGACGTATGAAGTCCGTATGTTGGCAGGAAATATAATGGGTATAAGTCACCCAGGAAACACGTTTACTTTTTCAACTGAAGAGGAAAGTAAGTGAATTACTTAATAAATTCTAATATAGATCTGAAATATACATCAGTATAGCCATTAAACGTATTAATAAGAATTTTTGTTAAACCGTTTCTTTTTCAAAAACATATCACATCTACATACAAATGAAATTTTTTACATTGAACCAGACAACTGACGATGTGATAAACTGCTCAAAACAGGAACTGAAAACACTTTTTATCTGTTTCAGTTTTGTCGATTAAATATTTCACATGTATGATAATAATTTAAAATGAAAACAGAGCGCCGTTTCTGCTAGTATTATAACTCGACAATAAAATAAATAGCAATTTTATAGCAGCTAAACGCTTTTAACATAGTTGAATTACTTGAATTACTTATACACTGTTATTGATAATACACCTTATCCCATGACAAGCATTACAATGGCTTTACTGTATTGTCCAATCTTAGAAATTTTACTGGTGAGGTAGACATTGAAACAACCATTTAAAAAGGCGACATAGCTGCTTCATTAATATAAACACACACGCATATATACATACACTTACATTATGCACACTAAAATATAAAGTTATTTTATTTTGTATGTCATATAAAAAACGTATTCTCTAATTCAAGATTTGAGATTCTAAAGTTATGGACGTATCTGGAATCTAATGAATTATCATATTTTCTTTGTAAAAATAAAGGAATATTATACTGATTAATCCTGGGAAGTAATATGAACAACGTTCTTCCATATTTATTTGAAATTGAATTCACTTAACCTACTTTCAATTGCAGGATCTATTTAGGGCTTCGAAATAGTTTTGTCACATTAAGTTTTTAGTTTTTCTTTGTATGTCTTAGTACCCGAAAGCCCCCCTGATGGTATTAGAGTGGAAGCCTTTAAACCGCAGTCCTTACATGTGTCTTGGAAGGTAAGTAAAGTAAGAAAACAAACAGTAAAAAAAGGCATTCACCGAAACCTTAAAGCCTGATCTTTTTATTAATACTTTATTAAACACTGTAATTGAACATTTCTAAGTAGTATTTGTTGATTATGATTGTTTGATGTTAAGCAAACATTCACCAACTCCTGGTATGGACCGATGAAGCTCTATCGAATTTCAAGAAAAATCAGGGAATGAAATATATATTTAAGCTAGGACGAACATTTGGATACGAAAAGAAAGTTCTGGAATAGTACTTGCTTGAGAAATAAGTTTGTTTCATTATTAGCCCTTAAAGTAGCTGTTTTTAACAATTACTTTTTCTTCGTATACACACAAGACTGTTTTATCCAAAATAAATTGTCCTATATTGTATTAAAAATACACTTGTCTGGTTAATGTTCAGTAATTTAGTGTAAAGTTAATTTTAGATCTAACTGAATAGTGTTACATTTAAGTTAGACTATTAAGTTGTTAATAATGTTACATTTAAGTTAAACTGTTAAGTTTGTACCTAATATTTTTGAAACATAAGAAAGATAATTTGACCGTTTTACTCGTGAGTTTTAAAGGCGATTTGTTTTAATGTAAGTAATTCTGTTTTCTTATGCTTGTAGATTAGCTCTCTCTCATCGGATGTGTAAGTAATTCTGTTTTCTTATGCTTGTAGCTTAGCTCTCTCTCATCGGATGTGTAAGTAATTCTGTTTTCTTATGCTTGTAGCTTAGCTCTCTCTCATCGGATGTTTATTTGAATTATTTTCTTCGTAGCCTCTAGCAGAAGAGTTGAGTAATGGAGTTATCCAGGGCTATTACATAGGGTATAAAATAACCAACAGCACAGACTCTTTCCAATACAAAACTGTGAAAAACGAATCTTTAGGCAGGTCTCGAGTGGAATGTGAACTCTACGGGCTGAAAAAATATACTTCTTACACTGTCGTCGTTCAGGCTTTTAACAGGAAAGGTGCAGGGCCACGCTCTGACCCCGTGATCGGTAGAACTAGAGAAGATGGTAATAGACACGTTCCTTTTGTTTCTTATACACTCAAATCTTAAATAGTTGATGTCTTTTATGATGAAAGTAATATACAAATTAAGGTAATTCTTAAAGCTCTGTAAGACAAAGAACTAATCTTGAATTTTTCCTCATTAAGATGACAACGTGGTGCTTCAACACTTTGACAGAATTAATACCAATAAACGTCATTTGCTGTTAGCCTTCAAAATATTCAATCTTGAGATTTCTCTGACTGATTTTTTTTATTTAATTGAATGATCTGTTATTAAGTTAACATAGGCTTCATTTGCTGAACTATTGTATTTACAATGTCATTCAGAAATTTAAAAATGTGACTAGGCTACTCCGATTGTTGTAATATTTGGAATATTTTCTTTCAACAAATTATCGTTTTTTACCTGAATTTCAGTTAAAACAAAAAAATTAGGCTTTATAACGGTAAATCATAATTTCAAATGGATTTTAGAGCTCTTTGTACTTCTAATATTAAATGTTAGTTTAAGCTATCGTATTTACATTTCACAAATTCTCATTTCGTTAATAAAAAAACAATTTTTTAGTCCCCAGTTTTCCACCTAAGCAACCTAATTGCACACCATTGACCTCACAGAGCATCAAAGTCACGTGGCTGTCACCTCCCCCTGAATCACTCAACGGTGTTTTAAAAGGGTACAAAGTAAAGTTTGGACGAAGCAACGAATTTAACGGTAAGTTACAAGTGTTTTATGTACAAACTTTGTGCAAAAACTTACAGTGTAGTTGAACAGATGGAAAAGTATGAGGTGATCAAGGCCTAACTTTAACACCAACCTGATATTCATGTACACAGGGTTTTGATTCTTTCTTTTCAGTGCTCTGAGGCTTAAATTTTTCAGAACTTTGGTTGAATCTTAGAGAAGGGTGACTCTCATAGCAACAACAAAAATGAAAAATCCAAAACTTGCAATTCTTTAGCTTTGTATGTATATTATGCAGTCTAAATCTCAATAGAATCGAAGACCAAATGCTAAAGCACCCACATCTCAGTATCTAAGAAACGTTTCTACTGTTAAAACATTAATAATTTTATTTTTACTGATACTAAAGAGTTCTCTGGAAAAATAGAAACAAGGATTTCTCTTTTCATCCTTAAAACTGCTTTAAATGAAATAAAACTGTGTTTGTTTGTTTTAAAGTTAAGCACAAAGCTACACAATGGGCTATCTGTGCTCTGCCCACCACGGGTATTGAAACCCGGTTTCTAGCGTTGTAAGTCCGCAGACATGCTGCAGTGCCACTGGAGGGCAACTGTGTTTTACATTTAAAACTGTTGTTATGCTGAAATTAAAATTAAAAGATCTGTCTTTATTCCGAGTTTTTGTCTTATAGAAATGTTAAAATTACTAAAGACTGCATCACTTATGACTGGATAACGATCTTATGATGCATTTATCATCATAGTTTTGTTAAAGTAGACTGATAGAATCATGGTTTAAGTTTCATTTGTGAAGAGTAGTTTCATAAAACGTATGATCTTTTCATAATACTACATCGGGCACAAAAAAAGGTTCCATTGTCTCAGGTTACAGAATAAAATTTAAAAATCGTAGCCCATGTGTTACCAAAATATCCAACGACGTGGGTACAGATTGAACTCAATTTTTCGGGTTCGAATCTCCCTGTTCCACCAAACAGGTTCGCCCTTTCAGCCGTGGGGGCGTTATAATGTGACGGTCAATCCCACTATTCGTTGATAAAAGAGTAGCCTAAGAGTTGGCGGTGGGTGATGACGACTAGATGCTTTCCCTCTAGTCTTTCACTGCTAAATTAGAGACGGCTAGCGTAGATATTCCTCGTGTAGCTTTGCGCGAAATTCATAACAAACCAAACTCAATTTTTATTTTTGTCACCCAAGTACATTTTACAGGTTGTAAGTGAATTATAATTCTTATCAAACTATTTTTTATATAAATAAATGATGCACTTATGCCATGAAACTACATAAATTTGGGATCCAGGGCATTAATAATGATTTCATTTTCAATTTTGTTCGAGCTAAGGTGTATTTCACGGAATTAAGGTCATTTGAATTGTGGTTTTGTTCGGCAATTTACAGAATAAGCCGTCATATATATTGTACATGGTTCTGGCATTCTTTATATTGAGGGTGAAAAGTATCTTACCATTATGCATTAAACGTCTGAGCTTATTAGTAATTTTATTTTATTGATCATCTTATGGTTTCACCATCCAAATATTTATAAAGTCGTGCAAAATCTTTAATTTTTATTTTAACTGTAACGAAATATGAGTTACATATCAGTATAAAGATGCAAGGTCTAGCAGAATAATAGTTATTTTACGAGTTCCCTTTCCTTTTCTCACAGAGCCCCATATGAAAGAAGTGACCATCGGTAGCAACAAAATATATAATGGTTATTTTACGAGTGCCGATTTCTTTTTCTTTCAGAGCCCCATATGAAAAAAGCGATCATTGATAGCAACAAAATATATAATGGTTATTTTACGAGTGCCGATTTCTTTTTCTTTCAGAGCCTCATATGAAAAAAATTGACCATCGGTAGCAACAAAATATATATAATAGTTATTTCACGAGTGTCGATTTCTTTTTCTTTCAGAGCCCCATATGAAAAAAATTGACCATCGGTAGCAACAAAATATATATAATA